TTTGGCGATCAGGTAATGGCTGTTTGGCGATCAGGTAACATAGACCCACAATCCACTTTGACAGGCACTGAGCTGTGATGCAAGTGCCCAGCCGTGCTGACGCGTAGGAGACAAACAGTTGCGAGTCTGCTCTAGTTGGGTGTGTTCTATTGAGATAGAACCGGAGAGCCCGCTTCACATCTAAAGTGTGTAATAGCTTGTCTTCCAGTGATGTTGGATTTGGGGGAAAATCAGGGAGGAAGACCTCCGCCTGCAGGTGGAACTGACACCACCTTTGGCAGGAAGGAGATGTCCGGGACGAGGTGGACTCCGTCTGGCAAAAATGATAGGTAAGGTGTATCATGACGGAAAGCCAATATTTCTCCCACTCGTCTAGCCGAGGTGACAGCAATTAAAAAGACCATTTTCCAAGCTAGGAGTTTGAGGTCGCATGTTGCAAGCGGCTCAAAGGGCTTCCTCGTGAGCTGGCGGAGATCTAGAGGAAGGTCCCAGGGAGCGACTGGAGTTTTGACAGGAGGGTAGAGATGCAATAAACTTTTTAAAAAACGTTTTGAAACTGGATGTGAAAACAGAGTACATCCATCAACAGGAACATGGTAGGCTGAAAGGGCGGCCAAATAAACTCTCAACGATGAATGGGAAAGTCCCGAGTCAGCTAGGGAGAGGAGGAATTGGAAAACTCTTTCGAGACCCACTGAGGTGGCTCGAGGGGCGTCATCACCTAGGGAAGAACAGAACCTTCGCCATTTATAATCGTCGGACCTCCGCGTAATCGGTTTCCTGGAATTCCAGAGAACGTTAGCTAAGCGGGCAGAGAAGGCATTATTCTCCATGCCGCCAGTTTCAATTATGGTATGTCATGATGGAGAAGAGGGGAGTCGGAGAGGAGGAGGAGGTCCTGAGCCGGAGGGAATTGATGGTACATTCCTTGTGATAGCTCGAGGACTGTTGAAAACCAAGGTTGTCTCGGCCACCATGGGGTTATTAAGATGCAGTCTGTGGCATCTCTGAGGATTTTGCGGACCACTCTCAGAAGC